CTGATTCTAAAGTATATGTGGAGAGGCAGAAGACCCAGAATAGGCAAAACTATACTGAAGGAAAAGAATAGTTTGAGAACTGAAAACACCTGACCTCAAGAGTTAATGTAATGTTCCAGTAATCAAAACAGTGTGGTACTGGCCAAAGAATAGACAAATAGATCAATGGAACAAAATAGTGAACCTGAAAGTCCACCCATACAAATACAGTCAACTGATTTTTTTGCAAAAGGGGAAAAGGAATGCAAAGGGGAAGAGAGATAGTCTTTTCAGTAAATGGTGCTGAAATAATTGCACATCCACATGCAAAAAAAAAAAAAAAAAAAAAAAAAAAAAAAAAAAAAAAAAAAAACTAGACACAAACCTTGTATTCTTACAAAAATTAACTCAAAATGGATCACAGATGTAAATATAAAGTGCAAAACTATAAGACTCCTCGAAAATGACACAGGAAAAAATCTAGAAGAACTTGGATTTGGCAATAACTTTTAAAATATGACACCAAGGCATAATCCATGAATAAAAGCATTAACAAGCTGTGCTTAGTTAAAATTTAAAAACTTTTCTGAAAGATATTATCAAAAGAATAAAAAGACAAGCCATAGATGGGTAGAAAATATTGCAAAAGACATATATGATAAAAGATTACCACATATGATATTTTAATCTGTATTTTTAACAATATATTTTTTTATCTTTTTAAGTCTAAAAATATGCAATGAACTCCTAAAACTCAATGATAAAAAGCAAACAACCCAATTTAAAAATGGGCCAAAGATCTTAGCAGACATCTCACTGTAGAAGATAAACAGATGGCAAATAAGTATATGAAAATAGTCTCAAAATCATATGTCATCAGGGAAATGCAAATTTAGTAATATCGATACAGCCAAACTTTAGAGTAACTTATACAGAATGCTGGGGAATAGAAAGGAAATATTTCTAAAAATGTTACTGCATACATTTCATACTAGAAATAGGAGATAATATTTAGATGATACATGAATAATGTCAATATGAACATGATATTTATAAAACATAAGTAAATACTTAAAGAAACAGTTATAAAAAATGAAAGTGATTGCCTTTCAGTAGGGTACTATGCAATGGAAAGAACTGTGGACAAAATAATGCTATTTTTGGCTATAGCTTTATGGTAAATATAATTTTTTAAAAAGATATGTAGTAGATTTTCTAGATAATAGATAACACAGAAAGCAAATAAATGTATGAAGTAATAAAATATTGTACTTATCATCCAGAAGATAAGTTCCAGTGATCTTTATAAACTCAAAAATAAGTTAAAAGAAAAAAATACAGAAAACTAAATACATTTTAAAAAAGAAAAAAACTAGAACTGACTCTCTGGAGAAACAAAAAATAAAATTAAAAAAAGAAAGAAGTTAGAGTTCAGTGTTACTAGTTGAATTGTGCCTGCTCCCCTAAATTCATATTTAGGCCCTAACCCCTGGTGCCTCAGAATGTGACTTGATGTGGAAACAGGATCATTTCAGATGTCTTAATGAGGTCAGTAGAGTGGGCTCTAGAGCAATACAACTAAGGTCCTTATTATTATTTTTTTTTTAAAAAAAAGGAAATTTGGATACAGCTTGGCACCCAGGGAAGTTGCCGTGTGAAATGAAGGCACAAATTAGGGTGATGCTTCTGCAAGCTACAGAATGCCAAATACTACCAGCACACCATCAGAGGCACATAACAGATTCTTCTTCACAGAAAGCCTTTGAAAGAACCTTACTTATACCATGATCTTAGAATTTTGCCCTTTAGAACTATAAGCCAATAAGTTTCTTCTTAAGCCATCCCATTTGTGGTACTTTGTTATGACAGCCCTAGCAAACTAATATAGTCACTGTATTAGAAAGAGGAACTAAAGATGGCTCGGATGTCTGTTAAGTCCAGGATAATTCCCTGCCAGTATTCTTGAAATTATAGAAGAAAAATCAACTAAAGATGCCATCCAATATATTATACATATTTTGTATAAAAATATTTATATAGTTGTTAATTCCTCTTAAAATATTAGTATTAGGAAAGAAAAGACTGTCTTTCTTACAGAGATGGTATTCATCATTCTTTTAGATAATGATAGTTGTGTTCCCATTGTGTCTCTGTTATTACCAAGAAGTCAGTCATGAATTGAGTATCCAAGTGAAGCACTTACTCATGCCTTGGTTTCCTGGCTCACTAGCTATCATCTCCATTCTTTTTTGGCTCTTACTCTTTACCCTTGTTTTAATAGTATATATGTGCTTTATTATGACAAGATTCTTTTTTTGGCAGTAGTTAGGATATAAATAATCACTAAATGAATGAGCACTTCTGATCACCACAGCTCTAACAGGCAAAATACTCAACTTACATCAATTCTTTTTAAAAACTTGTCTCTGCAGCTATGGTGACTAACTGTCCTGGTGTGCTGGGACTAAGAGGCTTCCAAGGACAAGGGACTTCCATTGCAAAATCCATGACAGCCCCGGCATAATGGAATAGTTCCCTATCTGAACCACTGCTCTGTCTTATAGCTCACAAGCATATTTTCACTGTCACTACTTTGGGCTCTAGTCCCTGTTTGCAATTATGATTAACCCCAATAAACTCGTGCATAGTTGTTTATTGAATCATCTGGCTTTGTATGGTAACCAATTTTGCTTCAACAGACGAGGAGCAATCATGCAAATAACCAAGTTCTAAGTCTCAGAAAATCCTCCTTACCATTGTTTCAAATGGAACCTCAGTTGATGTTGACTTCCTTTGAGACAAGGAGGTTTACTGAGACCTTGGGCTCTGTATATTAGATATCTGCAGTGATTAGGGGACCGAATTTTGCTTTTGCTAGGCTGTCCAAGCCTGGCTGCCCTCACAGCTTAGTCTCTTATTGGTTGCCCCTTTGAATGCTTTTATTTTTTTCTCTTAGGCCCTGGAAATTTCTCCAGTTTGCTTTGGTAACGAAACATCAAATTAGTATGATTCTGAGAATAATAACATAAAAAAAAACATTTCTTCCTCATGATTTCCACTGCAGGGCTACTCATGGACCTGGTTCTTCTGCTACCATCAGATAAAATAAATAGCAGATGTCCTACTTTTGTGTTTACTTCCAGATTACAAAAAGTTATACAACGTCACTGTAGTTTCCAAAGTAGTCTGTGTTTAGATATTAATATGTCTGGCATTATAATAAAATATCCAAATTTTATTTGAAATTAAACTTCTTCCTTCCAGTAGGGAAAAGTTGTATGTTCCCTATTTGACTTCAGCCATTACTAACTAATCCCATCCCTATCTCACAACTATTATCTGAGATCTCAAGACCCCACCATGCTTGGAGTATAACAATGGAGAAGAGATAAGGGAGCAGGAGAGATATATAGATACTGAGAGAGTCTAGTGGCTCATGAAATTGAAAAGTGTCTCAAAACAGTTCTCTGGGGTTTTCAGAAACCCTGCATTGCATTAAATATCTCACTTGTAGGTACATGATTTACTTGGTGTCTCTTCCTTACTTACTATATTACACTCCCTCTCTCATGCCTTAGGAATAGGTGATAGTAAAGATTCAGCTATTAACCACCTACCCACTGATCTTCTTGGACATCCTTGGGAGAAAGACCATGTTAGCCCTCTCTCATTACAGTCCACATCTGCTACCAAGGATCATTACTTTAGATCCACTATATGTAGCAGTGCATTTTCTTTCCACATACTGCTTAATTTTTGTTGACCACTTAGCAGGTAGCTGTAGCCACAGGCTCTATTTTGAGATTTATCAGGCCTGAGCCAGATACTAGTTGCTGTGTTTCCTAGATTCCAAAGGATACTTTGAAGCTTTTCTCAATAGGCTTGTGAAAAAGACAGATCACCCCAACCCCACCCAATGGCCACCATGGAGATGTTGACATTCATAGCACACCTTTCTCCAAAGAAGTCCTACTTGCAATCTCCAAATTTCCTGGCCACAAACTATGATTTAAAACATTATCTAAAGGTCTGCCTAGTCCGTCAGAGCCTCACTTTGGAGGGAGTGCTTGGCACCTATTACCTTGTGGCCATAACTATCACTGAAACTGACATAGTACAATTTCTCATAGCTGACCTTTCTTTCTTAGAATTTATCTTCCTTCATGACTTGCTGAATAATAAAATACTTTTAATACATTCCTTTTAGCCATTCTTTACCTGAAAGACATTTGTCCATGTGCCATTGATAGCTCCAAGTTGGCATAGGTGATTGCAAGCTCTCTCAGTGCAAAACTCTACTTTTATTTCATTTATAGCTGTGTATCACCTAACATTGTGAACTTCATCTAAATAATTGACTCGTTATCTCCATCCTGCAAGAATTTGATAGTAATATTTCCTAAAAATTATTTACTTCTTAATTCTTAAGAAATATTATAATCAATTTCACAAAAAATTGATAAGATTAAAGAGAGACTGATTTGCTGAAATAATAGGAAGGGGGAAAAAGCAAGTAATCTTGTGTTTTCTTAAGTAAAGGTCTTATAAATTCAAGCTTTAACCACAATATTATGTTAAATGTTGCCAAACTGAAGTATAGTTTTAAGATTTAAAATGTGTGAAAAGTAAACATTTGGAGAGAAAAAAATAAAGTGGATTTGGAATAGCATGAACTTCACTTGATAAAAGTTTAAATCATTCCCTTTGTGATAAATATATGCAATTCTTAAAAGGTATTACAATTAATATAAATTATTAGTAATATAAATCATTAAGAATTTCTCTAATAAAATAATGTCATCTATATTATTATAGTGAGGAAAAATTATGAATCCATAGATGCATAATTACTTTAGATGGGTGTAATTTAGATATTTTCCTGGCTTTTTGTAAAATAACGTATGGGGTAGGAAAAAAAAAATGCCACATTTCCAAATGGGAAAGTCAAAGCAAGTCAGTCCCAAGTAAAGTGACTAACATTTATAGAGTAATTCTCATCCTTATAAATTGCCTTCTTGCAGGAAACAGACCTTATCCTGACTTTTAATATTTCAATGCACCGATCTTGGTGGATGGAGAATGGACCAGGATGTACGGTGACGTCAGTGACACCCGCCCCAGACTGGGCTCCAGAAGACCATCGCTACATCACGGTCTCAGGGTGTTTGCTGGAGTACCAGTACATAGAAGTGGCTCATAGTTCCCTGCAGATTGTCCTCGCAGTAAGTGTTGACAGCCAACCACTTCTTCTAGTGCCTCTGGGGTTGTTTTATTTCTGTGCAAACTCAGTGCATACAAATGGAATCTGTGAGTTAAGTGTGGCCTTTTTGCTTTTTCCTCATTAATGTGACTTTTAACAGGAAAATGTCAGGTTAAACCAAACCTTCTTCCGGACTTAGCATATTGATTTTCTTCAGCAATTAGTAAATAGTCTTTGTTATCGTCAGCATTTTACAGAGGTAATCCAATCAATCAAGATGTGATTACTTGACTTTTGGTAGACTTTTCTAAGGATTCTGAAGGGATGACCAGATATTTTTTCATAACTGACATTCTACAATACCCAAATTCGTAAGATTTCAATAGTTGTTTTCTCTTCTAGTGCTTCTTTTGGCTGTTCAGCTAGCCCTGGGATTTATCTTTTTCATTTGCCCTACCTCATTCATCTTTCTTAGATTTCTCCCAGGCAACATCCATCACCTTTAATCTCCCACTTTTTTTCCAGAAAAAAAATTAACATTTTCTATAGATTCTACTTCTAAGACATTCATGCCCCCATTTTTCATAGTACTGTGCTGATAAAAAAAAAAACCCTCCTTCTAGGAGGCAGCATGAGTTACAAATAACATATTTGTATTGCATATGCCTATGTTATACAAAATATATGATTTAACATTGTATTACTATGACAAAGAGATAAATTAAAATACCCCTTTCTCAAGAAGAAAAACTGCATAATATAATGAAATTTATAAAGTTAAGGCAACTTTCTGACACATTAATCCATTTATTCATTATATATCTTAAATGCAGAACTGCATATATTTTTCTTAGATTCTATGCAGATATGCAACTGATGTGCATAGTGTTAAAGCTGTTAGCAACAAATGATGCAAGTAGAATCTGCTTGTTACCTCTTTAGTTAAATATTTTGGAAATGATATTGGCTCACAATTCTTTAATAACAAGAAATAATGGGTTCTGGGTAGAGTGGCATAAAATTCAGAGAAACATAAAATTCTTCTGGAATTTAAGAAAAAACTTTGTGAGTGTGTGGGTGTTAGATTGTATAACTAATATATCCTTGTAAGATTTTTAATGAGATGTGTGTATTTGTGTGTGTGTGTGTGTGTGTGTGTGTGTGTGTGTGTGTGTGGTGATAGACTAAGTCAGCTAGTATGCTATGTTAGTAAACACTTCCAAATTCTCTGTAAATAAAAGCCAAACAGGTTTCTTCTTGTGTGTCAGCAGGAGGCTCCACTGATCAAGGAAACAATTCTAGTGGAGTAGCCAGTATCTCCATCATCATGTTGCTGTGCCAGAGAGCAAAAATAGCTGTGGAGGGTCTACATTGGCACACACATGCTTCTGCTTGTGAGGAGAGGCTCATTGTTCACAGTTAATTGTGCAGAATTGGTCACACAGTCCCACCCTATCACAGAATGACCATGAAAGAGGGAGGGCTGTTTATTTGGAAATCAGCATAAATGATGTCCGGAACATTTGAATTATGTTCCTGGCTAAAGCACTAAGTAATCTCCCTTGAATAGGTTCAACCATAGACACTCCTTCCAATTAACAAAATCTTCTGTAATAGTTTAAATCTAAAAGTGCTCATTTTGATAATCCAGAGGTAAAAATAAATTAGATTTGATAGGATGGAAGTAGCCATTTCACTCTTTAAAATCCACTTAAATCAAGTAATCTAATGAGAAAATCACATGAGAAAAGTGAAATATTGGTGTGATTTGGGGTCAGATAAAATATCTTTAAATATGTGTTAAAAAGAGGTTTTAAGCAAACTACTGTAGAACTATCTGTAGAACTGCCTATTTTTACTGTACCACAAAATTGTGGATAACTTCCACCTATATTTCAAGGATGATGTGAAGATACCGTTTTTGTGCATAGACATTTATATATGACTATTTTAGAAAGTTATTTGAATTAGTTTGTGTGTGTATGTGTGTGTAAACTAGAAACACAAATTTATTAAATGCCACGTAAAATGCTGGCACATAGGGATTGGCTGAAAAAAAATACATTTTGACATGGAGTCATATGTTGAAGCTGACATATACACCCAAAGAAAAAATAATTTTACGTAAGTGAAAACCATCTGTAACAGCAAGGTGGCTAGAGTGCAAAGAAGATGGATGGGTTATCCCAAAGAACAGATGTGACCAATATTTTATGCGACTGGCTCTTGTTTCTCCTGTCTGCGTTGCCCCCAGTGGAGAGAAGGAATAGTTTGAGCAAACCATCCTAGAATGTGACATCTTTACCTCTACCTCTTCCACCCGTTCTTTGTTCCAGAGGTGCGTTACTTTTGCAGTGTTGACTGTGGAACACCAGAGTTAGCAACTGCACAGCCAAGCCATTACTTGGCGAAGTTTCAACACATTTTCTACTTTTGAGCGTGCTATTGTCTAGCCAGCCTTGGGTTGAATGCATCTGCTATACAGACAACTTAGCAAATCCAAACTCAAGTTTTATAATGCAAACCAAAAAGGGCTTATCTTTAACAACTTGCTCTGCAAACAAAATTTCCTATCTTCATTCTGATCACTGATGTAATGATTAATTGAGGAAATGGTGTCTTGAATCTCTGTTCCTCACTTTTTGTGTTACCCAGATCATCTCTTCGACAATCAAATGTTCCTTTCAGTCAGTCTAGGGGAAACTTCCTGAGTGGTTGTCTCCTTCTGGCATCTAGAGAAACTAAGGTGTCAGGACCTCTGACGTTGAGAATGTCACAGTCAAAAATACAGCAAGGGTCCCCAGAGTACAAACCAGGTGCAAACAGCCACATTTGGGAGATGTGGTAAACAAAGAATATGGCTCATGCAGTTTAAAGCATAATCTTGGCTTCTTAGCTCCATGCAGTTTTGTAAAGTCAGCTGAACTCACTCTTCTCAGTGTTTTCATCTGAGTCTTTGAAACTGCCCTCTCTTCCAGGATATCTGGCTCAGATCTGCTTGCATAAACTGATGCTTTCTCAGCTACTGCCTCTTGATTAACTCCAAATCTCTCCAGCTCTTTTTCTCCACCCTCATTCAGCCTTTTTTTCACAGATTCCTGAACCCTGGCAAGCCTGTCACCCCGTTGTTCGGTTTTCTGCCAATCAACTCCTGGCTGATTTTGAAATTAGCATTCACAAAGCCCACATTTGCATCACACATACATAAGATATCTCCCATCTACAGCCAAAGGAAGACAAGTATAATATCCATGTAATTGGTACGAGGGGCTATTAATCACACAGCTTCCAGCCATGCAGAAAAGACTGCCAGAACACCATAATGATGAGCCAGGTGTGATATTTCGAGCTTTCTCCTTCTCCAGCCCCGTTTTCTTCTAGTTGGTATCAGATAGCACATTCAAAAGGAATTCAGGTATTCACAGTTTTAATAAAACCAAAAATTTTAAAATCCACATTTTCTGAATAGATAAAATAAATGTATGTGGGGAGAGCCAAGGAGGAGATCAATTGGGGAGATATTATTCATGTTACAAAAAAATTAATCAGATTCCTTCAGTGTGTGATTGGAACTGCATGGTTTATAAAATATGTTCACATGAATTAAATCTTCTAACTGTGTCACTGTCTCTGAGGGCAGCAGAATAGGTTAAAAGCTCTTCTTGAGACATTTTAGCTAATATATGAACATGCTCTCATAACAAGGTTGGGAAATAGTCTTCAACCTGAATGCCAGCAGCAGCTGATGGGTAATGGATTCCCGATGTCAAAATATTCAGTTCTTCAGGAGCAAAGGATGCCATGATTGATTAGCTATGTCTGCCACAGGTGAGGAGAATGAAGAGGGATGTGCCTCACATTTATTTTACACATATCATACTTTTCTTTCTGTGATAAAAGCAATGAAAAGGGTGTGTGTTTTACAAATGAATGTGCAGAAAGAATAATTTAAGATAAAATATTTATTTCAATAGCTGTTGTAATGATGTATGTTCAAATATGCTAAAATTCTAAAAATTCATCTGGGTGGGGGCCTTAATTTATCCTTTCTGTAGCCACATCCAGATAATCAATATTCCTAAATTTAATATGAACATCAAACAAATTGCTTGGTTTTTTTTTTTTTTCTTTATTTCCTCTACTTTATTTCCTTCACTTCTGACACACTTTAAGTTGATGGCAGGTTGGCTATGAATTGTTTTAGGCAACTGGCAGAAGGTATTAGTTTTTAAAAAAATGTAAGTAAGCTTTCTGTTACCTACAGTGTTGGCTTAGAAACAGTGAACAAATGAGCAGGGCAGCCATGAAAGGTGTTAGAAAAGGTTCTAATACCTGGTGCATGGTTCATAGCTAAGAATAGTTGAATGTCAAATTCTCCTTCAGTTATATCTGTTTCCTATTCAAAAAACTCTCTACTTTGGAGAGTGCATGAAATGGTAAAATCATGGTTCAATGGATTGTGGAAAAGAAGGTGTAGATAAAATACGTACATTGGGGTAAATAAAGTCACAAATGACTTTAGTTATTCTATTGATAATTTATGTTTGCCATTTGGCTGGCTAAGACTTACTAAGGGATATGATTAGTGAAGAAATTTTCCAAACGTTGAATCTCTTTATCTAGGTGGACTTGAGGTTGTGTTGGGAATGGCACATGTGCGTTTCTTTGGATGTAGCTGATGTGTATGGTGTCTGCATAGGAGTGGCCTTATTGTGCATGCTGCTGTTTGATGCCTCTGGAAACATTCAGTTTTGTTGTTAATATTTTGTTAATATTTGAATTTTGAATACCATGTCCCCTAGGATATTGCCATTCACGTTTTACATGTTAAATCTAAGTTGTGAACTTGTGTCATTTTAAAGGGATGAGTGGGGAATGGTATGAGCTGATATCTAGCCACTGTGCGCTCAGAAGTGATGTGATTGCCATGGCTATGGAAATATCCTTCATTACATTTATTTGAATTAAAAATTAAAGCAGATTTTTTAAGAAAAAAATAGTTTGATTTGAATTGTTTCACAG